GTTTTGTGCAAAAACGCATGATCGCTCCGGCTCGCCTGGTGCGTTCCAGCCTACGTTGTGAAGTGGAACTCCTTAATCCGCATTATCGGAAAAAAATATACTTTGCAAATTTCAATTTCCGCTTGCAGATGCGTCTGTACATGCTGCATGTAATTGTATACCATTGGTGCCGATAGCACACACGCAATTGCTGCAAATGCACTGGTTGAAACGCCCAAAAACGCAATTCGTTTCAGTTTTTCGGCAAAAAGTAGATGCTCTCTCGCTCGAACAATTTCCCCATCGTCCATTTTCTAGAACCACACACAAATACACTTAATGAATCAGTTTCATTTGTATGAAATGCTGCTTTATGGCAAACATCTTGGAACCATTTTCGTTGTGAGCAAACAATTAACTGCGCAAAATCCGATTTTTTTAGTTATTTAGTTTAGAGTAATAAAACAGGATGAAAAAGCTCCCAAATGCACCGGTAGCGAAGTATGGGACACCAAGACAGCGGGGAAAGATCAAAGTATCTTCTATTTAGTTTTTAACAAACTGAATTCTGATTGGCAATACCCAAAGATAGGCTAATATTTAGGCTCACTAAAACGCCTTTAGTGTTTTTTAAACATTTCATGAGAAGAAAAACTACGGTGGGATATCAGAAAAAAACTAAAAGTACGCATGAGATATCAAAATTTAGTACGCATTTGCTTCTGGCAAAAATGCGGCACTTGGAAAAACTCAAATAAAATTTATTCCTAAATTATGTAAGCACAGAACTTCATACGGAAAAATATGTATTAAATGACGAGTGCTCATTAAAAGTGAAGCGTGAGATACAGAATAAGTATAGGATTTAAGAGTGCTTTCAGTAGGTGATAAAATTTAACCTTTTCCAGCGAATAACCGCTGATAAAAAATACTTAGGTGGGCAGATTACAACCACCTTTTATAAACGAAACAAAAAAATTATGCTAAAACGTCGGATAGAATTAGTCCAAAATTTCGAAAAAATTTGATTCAAAAAATCATACTGGACGAATAACTGGGCAATCTAATTACGAAAAAGTAAATGAAAAGAGCTTTTGGTTACAGTGAATGCATCGGTCAAATGCCTTATTGTATACAGCTGCACCTGGCCACATAATAGCACATGGCCCATAGAAATTTGACATCCAAAGCAGTAATCAAGTGAATTCGCCTTGCAGTGACAAAAAACACATTTTTGATTGGAATTTGAATATTTTCTGCTTATCTTTCTATTGCATCAACAAATCCTTGACCTAGAAGAATTGGTTGCCACCTTTTCGGCGTACATTTCTCCTATTCTTGACAGGGTTCAATTTTAATGCACCTTTTTAACTTTCTGGATGTTCAGAGCTCGGCCTTCCGGCCCGAAGGCATGTAATTTTTCAAGCTTACAAAGAGATAGAATGTGACACAGAAATTGCGGTAACAGAATCTTCCAATGAGCGGTCCAGAGGCACAAGCCGAATATGCGGCCAGGCAAGCCATTTACTGGAGGAACAGTTAGGCTTCAAATGACGAGGTCGCAAATGACAATGGTAACTTGTTCGAAGCTGATGAACGACGATGCGGGAAAAAAGAGTTCCTAGAGGAATTATGTAATGGTTCGGTGTCGCCACAGGTTTGCATCATCAGTTGTAAGCCTTCGTGTTCTCAGCATTCAGTCATGCAACCTGCTGCAACATTAAAAAGGATCAATCAGAAATTGGCCAAAAAGAATCAGTCAGAAATTTACCATGGAATACTGCTCCCCCGCCTCCCCAGTGATCACCATTGTTCCTGAAGTACAAAGAGTTGTGCGTTTTAAAGACAGGCGCTGTTATGCATTTCTGCTATTAGCTATCATAAATGTACTGTTGATAAACAATCCAGTGCATGTTGGAGTTCATCACACCAAAAATATCAAGACCGCTCGGGTTGTAAGTGTCGGTATCCTGAGTTAATGGTGTTATGGCGGCTGTGAAGAGACGGAACCGGTGGTGGTTTTTTCACCACAGTGGTTTTTGAATCATAGCTTAGCGCACGTCAGTAGCAAAAATTCGAATCACAGCTTTTTACAGTTTTCAGCAGGCGGTATTTCGGTCCAGAAATGTTATGTTCTGAAAGAGGATCGATGATCCCACATTGCCTTTGAGACAAACCATCTTTCTTCACTTCATTTGTTTGTTTCGATGGTGAACTGTATTATCAGCATATACAAAAAAGTCAAACAAGCCATCAGTTTGCTTCTAAGCAGCCCTCGATAAGAGAGCCACCAAAAGTCTTGTTAGCTGGTGGTTGCTTTTAGCAACTACTACGACTACTTAGGTCACTTCCGGGTGCTTCCTCATTTCAGAAAGAACTAGTGCGGGCAGTTGATTCCCTGTCAAGTAATATTGCTCTTTTATGAATTTTCATACGAATCGTTTTGGGCAAAACTCATTACTAATGACAACTAGTAAAATTATTTATTCATAACCCACTGCTGACCAATTTTATTTACAAGAAAATAGTATCTTTAGAATCAACACCAATAACGCCATATGCCGAAACAGCCATATCGTACGCACTTGCTTCATCGGATTTGTACTCCAATGTATTGCAATCCATGCGCCTTTTGACTGATAACCTAGTGAAGTGAGCATACGAAGTGAAATCCGGAAGTTTTCCAATGAACCTAAATAGAGCAAGCATGCATCAAGTGCATTTTCTTTTCATTCAAACTCAGAATCTGACAATTTTTGCACGCAACAGAAAATTGATAAAAATTCAAATAGCGTTTTTTCAAAAAAGCCCCTCACTATCATTAATATTTCAGGGCGAAAGTTATGCTAATTTTTTTGGGCTAATGGGCTAAAAAACCGATGTAAAAAAACATGTTGACATTCCTCGCGTTATTAATATCATATTAAAGGCTAGCATTACAGCTATTTTAACTGAGAGAATCATACGTTCTAGAAAAATAAATTCTAAGTCATTATTTGGTAACTTTGCGGAAATCGCGCACAGCTAGTGAATGAACTGCTAAACAATTTTTGCTGACTTTATTCCAAAATCTACGGCTTTAGAAACGTGGTATATAGAAAAAAAAAGGTGCATCCAGAAAATTCTTAGTCGGCCACCTGACACAATTTCGCTATCTTTCTGTGTCCTTTTGCGGAGGACAAAAGCAAGGCCAACAAGCCTAAACGATTTTTGCGAAAATTTTTAGAAATGCTAAGAAAATAAAGTAATAGAATAAAAAAATACTAATTTTTGCAATCAGTGCTATTTGAGCTAATTAACTCTTTTGCTAAAACTAGCTTCGTTGATTGGATCTTCATTTTGTTTTTTCTCGGTTTACTTTAAAACGCATGAGTTGGCTCATAATGCGTTTATTATCTGATCGATACATGACATTACGTCTGACTATTTCAGTGCATCTTATAACAAAGGTGATGGCGAGATTTTTACCTTCAAAAGAGACATCGATGTCATATTTTTGAAACAACTTCATCAAATAACATTTATTTAAACTCATACTTACAGTGTAATTTAGCGAAAAGAGGGACTGTTTAATTTTTGGTGCAGCAGCAGAAAAATGTGTTGTTTCAGCAATTTCTATGCTATGCTTTGGAATCGCTCATTTCTTATTAATTCGTTTGTCCCACAAAACGGTCTTTGAAATCTCCACCCTCTCGCCTCTTGATAAAAAAGATGACATAAATGCTCGACTGAAACAAAATACAGTGGACGGAAATCTATTTTGACAAGCAGAAAGCATGTGTGTTTCGACTCCTCGCTTTTAAAACCTCAGAATTCTTTGTTATGTTGCTATATCAAAAATTGTTCTCAACCACACATGCACATGCGAGATCTACGCTCTTTTATGACAATTTTTGCAGCGATAAATCAATGGCAACCTAAAGTGCGCATATATTTGTTTTTCTGCACAGATTGTTATTTAAAAGAACAAAAAAAAAAAAAAAAAATATGAGGCACAAACTTCAGTTGGAGATTACACGTCGAAGAGCTGCCGACTGGCGCAAATTTTACTACATCGCCCATGTTCTCAAAGCTTCGAATCGGAAAGACTATGCCTATCCCTTCAGTACTGCTGTGTTGACAGCGATGGACGAATGAGAAATATGGTCACTGACGAAAGCTGAAGAGCGGGCGCTATTGTGACGCAGAGGGCGATGAAGCGAAGGATGCTTTGCGTGTTTCTTGCACACTGGTGGCCCGGGCACTCTTGGTAGTGCTGCTACATTGCATTCAAGCAGTGAGACTTCTGCGGCAAAAGGCATAATTGCTAAGTGTATTTCCATAGTTTGTTGTTCGTGCCTTTTTCAAAAACTAATACAAATTAATTACCTGCTGAAAAGCGTTTTAAAAGTGCGCCGAAAACTGCTCGACATGAAGCAGTAGATGCCAAAATTAACTGGATAGGTCGCCTGAAAGCTATTCTCATCACGCTCACTTCACTGCCTTTGTTAATCCTTTATTAAACGACGTTTTTACAACATAAAACTCCCCAAATTAATTTCAGAATCGTATCAGTGAAATAAAATCTTGTGTCAACTATCCGTAACACTTTTATCATAGTTTCTGTAACATTGCTACATGCTCTCTATAATTACAATTTCTCCCCTTTATGCCAGACTTTTAAGGTGGCGAAATGATTAATTATTTATAGGCTGGCTATGCCTAACACTGCAAAAGCGATGTAAAACCTCTCGCTAAAATATATTTCGTTTATGTACATATATATGTACATACACACATAAGTGTGTTGCCACATTTTGACGTTTTTTTTGTGCTTTTCAAAAACTAATTCAAGTTAACTATTTTTGGACTCGCTACCCTGCCAATATATATATAGTATATAGTATATGTATATATATACATATATATATATGTATATATATATATATATATATATATATATAGTAGCAAAGTTTGATATCTACAAACCATAATTGACATTATTTTTGCTTCAGCAGAATAGCGCAAAAGCATCGGTCGAATGAAATTTGATGCTACATGAATGCTGAGGTCAAAAAAATTCATTTAAAAAATGAGTTCTTGGATTCATGCTAATGTATCGTCTGGCAGAATCACATTGATACTATCGACTGCGAATCTCTGAAATTGCACCGGTAACTGTAGACGAAACATAAAAGTTTTTTAGGCGTATGAGAAGCTTTAGTAGGCATATGACTAATCCCTTTTTCCGAATTCTTCTCTTGATTTTTTCTTCTCGATACCTCTTGAGGGATTTCCAGAGTTTGAAGCTGTTGGCTGCTTAAATTAGCATTGCCGTCCACAACTTCTTAGTGCAAGCTACGCCAGTCAGCGTGTATCGCTAGATTTTTTATTGTGCTTACCATGACGAGCATATTGTTTGCAAGCAAAAAGGCTGTCGGAAAAATTCCTTCAAGTAATTTGAGCGATATCCCGAATGTGGTGCACACGCAGAGAAGTCCCATGAAGAGTGCTTGTGGAAGATTAACAATTAGAAATATGCTAACAATTACGACAAGCATTAAGCTCGTCGAGTTGCTATCTGTTTGACGTTGCGCTTCCCGAGCCCTATTCTCCCTGAAATACATTGCTTAACTTGTGAAAAATATGTCTTTGCTAAAATCTCTGCTTTGCGTCGCAGCCTTTTTCATGCCTTCATCTGAAACTAATCTCCTTTTATTGGCGCATTTAGATTTTTATCAGTGATTAGAAATTCGCCTCCGCATCCCGACTGATAGCATCTGTTATCTGGCAGTGCTGTTAACAGTTTGGTTCTGGGAGTGACAAAGTTCAAAAGAGGTGATGGTGCTCAGCACACATCAAGTATATCTTGAAATAACTGAACCCTTGCCAAACTGCCCTTGTCGAGAGAACCGTTAACTCCTTGATATGATGAAGTGAATGCCAGGGCTGCCCTCCAGGCCGACAACCGCTATGCGGTATTGGTTAAAAGACATAGAAAAGTAGTCGGCTATAAAGCTGGACTCCACGAGCTGCAGATGGCCAGAGCATCGGAGTATAAAATCAGTCATTGAGAGTCGGCTTAGAAATCAACTGATTCAGTTTGCAAACTCTAAAGCGCCAGGCAACAACTTCCTAACAAATCAACGAATCATAAAGAAGCTAGTAGTTTTAGGCTAGTTAGGTTTCAAATCGATACATTGCTGAAAACTTGGTAAGGGCTACAACAAAGTCAGTCCGTATAGCTGAACGCTTCCTAAAACGGAACCGAATCAACGCTTGTGCATCAAACTTGCCTTGCGGCTTTGGACTTTTTGTTAAAAAGACTGAACTTTCGGTCGTATGTCCATATTTTGATTAAAGTCGCTTACTTTCAAATTTAGCTATAACAAAAAAGACGACAATGAAGGAAAAAAATTATGAGAAAAAATGCATTTTTCCCAACTGTTTTAAGAATTATTCAAGCCAAAGAAAAAAAAAGAAGCGGAATAACGAACTTGACTAAGCGCTGTTTTCTTTTCTGCGCCTTCCTTATGCCACGTATCAGCAGAAAATTCAAAATAATTAAAAGTATAGAGGGAAGCATAATGAATGCCACAACTCGTGTCCAAAAATAGCAATTAAAAAATGTATTTGGGCCGACAAAATGTACCAGTGCTGTAAAGCCAGACAAGCAACTCCTGAAATTCAGCAGAACTATTGTATCTTTGCAGTATGAGAAGCTTTAGCATCAGCCTTCACATATATAATATTTCCATAATCTTGTTATTAGAACGTTTTCTTGATTTACGCAGTGGAGTGCTGCAGCAGTGAATTTTGTGATGTTTGTAGAGAGGAAAAGAAAACGCTGAAAAAGATACCTTAACACAGGGGAGTACAAAGAGAAGAGGGGTCTTAAGCCTTAGGCATTTCGTCTCGTTTGTTCAGCAACTCTCGCGCAATGCATTTGCTAAATAAACTTCATTTTTCAATGCCCATCATAAAACCCCAATTTGGGGGAACTTTACGGCTCTGAAAAAGTGCTCCAAAAAAAGAGCTGCAAAGCTGTAACTGATTTTGCAGAGATTAAGGTACTGCACAATTTTTAGAGTAACACAGAGTTTAAAGAATGCCAAGACTGCAAAGTGTCTTCGCAGTACTTCATAATTTTTGCAATACCAATTCGGTCTACAGTACTATTTGCTACACAGTACCAGTTCAGCCTACGTGGCTGTTTTGCCTTGTTCTGAAAAACGCGACGGATTGAAGCTTAACTTTACAACTGGCAAGATAATGCAGGAAATTTCCTGACAGAGATATTTACATGGCTTTTGAAATATTACAAACTTTTACGGAAATGTGTGAGCACAGAGAAAGTAGCACTTTTTCGACTGCTCTGTAGTTTCTTGTTCATGTCTTTAATTCTGGATGCTTTGAAGTACAACAACCAGGTAAAAGAAGAAGCACGCCCCCCCCCCCCCCCCCCCCCCCCCCCCCCCCCCCCC